TATGTTTGTTAAATTAATATGCCAGACGAGATGAGATTGGGCGCGTACAGGGTGGTATGGCCATAGGCTGGAGCGATAGCACAGCGGTAGGACATTTGCCTTGTGCAGAGCCAGCCTGCCTGAGCCAGGTTCGATTCCTCCGCCCCTCTTGGAGAGCCTGGCAAGCTACGGAGAGTATTCAATATGCCAAGCACAGTAACAAGAGGTCTCACAATGGAGACGTTACTGGGCTCGCTCGAGCAAATCAATGAACAACGGAACGACAAAAGAAAAAACAAAAGAAAATAAATTAATATGCCAAGAAGATGGCTCCAGTGGCAGAGCACAGAGCTGGTGTGTTTCGAGGCCCTGAGTTTGCCCCTTGCGCACTGTTCAGTGTAGTTCTAGTGGTCCCCAGCTATCAGCTGTCGCCTTCAGGAGTTTCCTACGGCAGTGTCAGAAGTAAGTCCCAAGCACCACTGTGTGTGGCTCCAAAACTAGAAAAAGAAAAGCTGGATGCTAGAGAGATAGTACAGTGGGTAGAGCTCTTGCCTTGCATGTGGCCCGCCTGGGTGTCATTCCTGCCGTACTGCCACCGGGCCCCCTTAGCCGCTCCAGGAGTGATACTTGATCACAAAGCTAGGAGCACTTCTGGGTACTCCCCAAAACTGAAAGGGAGGGCGTTTGGTTCCGTCTCCAGTGCCCATATGGTTCCCCAAGCCACTAAGGAGTAACTCCTGAGTGCAGAGTCAGAAGTGACCCCTTAGTAATATGAGGGGATTGTGTGACCCAGAAACCAAAAAGAAAACACCCGCCAGAGGAGGTGGAGAGCGAGCATGAGAGAAGATAACGTTAAAGGGTCAGAAATAGTACAGGGCTTCCCAAAAATAAATAAATAACTACATTTTAAAAATGGGGGCTGGAGAGATAGTACAGCAGGTAGGGCCTTGCACACAGCCAATCTAGGTACGATTCCTAGCATGCCTCAGCACCACTAGGAGTAATTCCTGAATGCAGAGCCAGGAGTAACCCCTGTGCATTGCCAGGTATTACCACTCTCCTCCCCCCCAAAAAATAGTAAAGGGCTTAAGGTGCTCGCCTTGGTGTGGCCCACCTGCTTTTAATCCCTGTCACTACATGTTTCCTCAGTGCTGAACTCAACCCCAGCTGCCTCCTGAACACTTTAAAATATTGTTGAGTGGAGAAGTGTGGTCACTGTAGATCGCGTTTCTCCTTCCCACCTCACCTTTAGAATCCTAAGGTCAGCTATTGGCCCAGCAGTCTTCTGTTAGGCCCAGCCTGGCAGTGCTCAGGGCTCACTACTGGCGCTGTGCTGAGGAATCACTTAGGTAGTGCTCTGGAAACCCTGTGGAGTGCTGGGCTAGAACCTGGGCTGACCAGGCGCAAGGCAAGCACCTTAAAGCCTGGACTCTTGCTCGGGCCCCAATCTTAGCGTTTCTCCGATTTAGGTGGGTTTTGTTACAGTGGGGATCAGAAACCTTTTGTTTGGACACTGTTGGTGACAACTGATTCATCGTCCCTTTTCTGCTTCCTCTTTCAGTTTATTTCTGGCATCTTGGCAGCCTTGAGTGCTATGGTATCTCTAGAAATCCCGCAAGTTAACATCATGACAAAAATGGACCTGCTGAGTAAAAGAGCTAAAAAGGAAATTGAGAAGTAAATTCACTATAATTAAGGTGTCATTGGCAGTGCTGAACCTTTTTCGTTTCACTTCGATTGTCAGTCTACAAATTTAGTGTTTAGGATTCTTTCATTCACCAGTCTCTCATGTTTAAAGGTTTCTAGATCCAGACATGTATTCTTTATTAGATGATTCTACAAGTAACTTCAGAAGCAAAAAATTCAAAAAATTGACTAACGCCATATGTGGGCTGGTAAGACTTTGTATTTTTCTAAATTTTGGTGGTGGGGATGGTGGGCCTCCTGTACTGGGGGGCCTAGGGCCCACTCTGATTATTGGCCCACCAGGCTAGTAGTGGTCATTGCTAGGGCCCAGAGGGCTGTACCAGCAGTTTTGGTTCCTTCCTGGCTGTACCCAGCAATGCTTAGGATGCCATCTGGTGCCAAGAATCAAGCGCTGTGCTAATCCCTGGGCTGATGAGTTTTGCAAGTGTTTGGGGTGTTTGTGGGTTGTTTTTAAAGTTTGGGGGCCACACCCGGTGGTGCTCAGGGGCTGTTTCTCCCCTGTGCCTGGTGGACCATATGTGGTGCTGGGTGTTCAAACTGAGGTGTGCGGGGTGTAGGCCATTTGTAACCCCTGTCGTAGCTCTTCATCCCCTCCCGCAAACCCCCCTAGACCCATATTTTTCTTAATCTTCTTATCACGTGCTTACACACCCCAGGCACTGGCCACCATATGGACGGCACAGACCAGCACATGTCTTTTTTTTTCTTTTTTTATGTTTTTTTTTCCCTTTATTTTATTTTATTTTTTTTTACAGTTGTAGATTTACAATTTTTTGTGCTTTGGTTTCAATTATACAATGATCAGATACCCATCCCTCCACCAGTGCCCATTTTCCACCCCCATGGATAATTTCCCCCCACCCCCATCCCCCATCCCCCCCGCCTCTGTGGCAGGGCAATCCCCTGCCACACATGTCTTTTTAGGGGAGCAGCATGTTGGGAGCGGTCGGCTGTCTGCTTCGAAGTTAGTATAGAAGTAGGGAGAGAGCTCAGTGGGCAGCACCACAGACTTTGCACACAAGGGGCCCAGGGTTATCTCTGGCACCATATGGTCGCCACCAGCGTTGTCTGGATGTGGCCTCCCCTCACCTCTGAAAAAAGTTGTCATTGGTTGTAGCAGAGAGGGCAGGAGGCCACACTGAGCAGTGGTCAGAGTTTATTCTTGGCTGTGCCTCCAGAAATCATTCCTGGTGGGCTCAGGGAGCATACGGGATGCGGGGGATCGAACCCGGGTGCATCCCCTGCCTACGTGCAAGGCAAGCGCCCACCTCGGTGTACTAGCTCTCTCGTCCCACAGCAGAGAAATTCTGCAATGTCTTTTTTTCCTGGCCACTTGGCACATCAGAATTGCCTGTACCCTTTTGAAATTTTCAGTGGTGGTTGAACGCAGATAAATTACTTTAAAAGAAGTCTCAGTTTCTGGTCGGGGCAGGAGAGATAGCACAGCAGGTAGGGCGTTTTCGTTGCATGGGTCCGAGCCGGGTTTGATTCCTAGCATCCCATAAGTCCCCTGAGAACCACCAGGAGTTATTCCTGAGTACATGAACCAGGAGTAACCCCTGTGCATCACCAGGTATAACCCAAAAAAAAAAAAAAAGTCTTTAGTTAAGTAATGTTGTAATGTTACTAGTGTTCCAGTAGGTCAGAGGTCATAAAAAAATTAATGCTGATTTGCTGTTGTTCTGTCTGCTCCTCCCTGCACAGGCATAGATGGTATTAATTAGACTACCAATGTTCACACTCAAGCGTCAGTTGAATGACCTTTCTGAAATCTCTAATTTGTAGATTGATGACTACAGCATGGTCCGATTTTTGCCTTACGATCACTCAGATGAAGAAAGCATGAACATTGTATTACAGCATATTGATTTTGCCATTCAGTACGGAGAAGACTTGGAATTCAAAGAACCCAAGGTAATTTCTGACGATTTAGATCTGCCGAGGGCTGGAGCGATAGCACAGCGGGTAGGGCGTTCGCCTTACAAGCGGCCAACATGGCCGACCCGAGTTCGATTCCTCCGCCCCTCTCGGAGAGCCCGGCAAGCTACCGAGAGTATTGGATATGCCAGACACAGTAACAACAAAGTCTCCAATGGAGACGTTACTGGGCCCGCTCGAGCAAATCGACGATCAACGGGAGGGCCTTTACCTTTACCTTTACCTTTTAATAATTGTAGTGCAACCAGCCAACATGGCCGACTCGGGTTCGATTCCTCTGCCCCTCCTAGAGAGCCCAGCAAGCTACCGAAGAGTATCACCTGCACAACAGAGCCTGGCAAGCTCCTCGTGACATATTCGATATGCCTAATACAGTAACAATTGTCACAGTGGAGATGTTACTGGGCCTGCTGGAACAAATCGATGAACAACAGGAGGACGGTGATGATGATGATGACAGTATATTTTCTTTGTATGCCCCTTTTATACATGTGCACCCAGAGTTGCTTAAAAAATTCCGTGGGGGGCAAGGGGAGCTGGTGTGATAGTACAATGGGTTTGGCGTTTGCCTTGCATGCAGCTGACCCGGAACCCCAGCATCCCATATGGTCCCACAAGCACTGCCTGGAGTAATTGCTGGATTCAGTGCCAGAAGTAACCCCTGTGCATCGCCAGGTGTGACCCAAAATGAAAAAAAAATACTGGGGGACCCAGAGAGATACTATAGTGGGTAGGGCACTTGCCTTGAACACAGCTAAGGTGATCCCTGCTACCCTATATGGTTACTGGAGTCTGTCAACAGTCATCCCTGAGCACAGAATCAGGAATAAGCCCTGAGCACTATCAGGTTGTCCCCTCCCCCCAAAAAAAACCCCCAAAATTGAATATAGTATAGGGCCTAGAGATATAGTGTGCTGGGGACATACTTTACATGTAGTGGGCCTTGCATGTAGTAGGCCTTGCATGTAGGACTCTGAGTAGCTTCGAGCCCTCCCAGAAGTTTCAGAGAGACCCTCAAGCATCCCCACGTGCGGCTTAAAACAAGCAAAATTGGATATATTACTTGTAGGGATTGACTTCCTTTAAAAAGAATTGGGGGGGGGGGACCGCAGGTGCCATATCTGATGATGCTCAGGGGTTACTCCTAGCTCCTGTGCTCAGGAATTACTCCTGGCTATGCTCAAGGGACCCTATGGGATCGAACCCAGGTTGGCTGTGTGCAAGGCAAGTTCCCACCCTCTATACTATCTCTCAAGCCCCCAAAGACAGTTTCTGGGAAAAGTTTTTTCCCATAATTGAGGGTTGAATGTATTTTATGTTTATAATAAGCTTGTGTTCTTGTCGGTCAGATCGAGTTGTACACAAACCTGCCCGTGATGAAACAGCTGGTTCAGCAGCTGGAACAGTGGGAGTTCCGAGTCTGTGGAGTGTTTCTTGTTGATTCTCAATTCATGGTGGAGTCGTTCAAGGTTTGAAACTATACCTGTCCTTGATTTTCAGTCTCCGGCACAAGCAGTGTACAAATACCTTTAGTCATAATCGTTTAATTGTTAACAGTTCATGAACTATACCCAGGAGTGACTTGAAACTTATGTTTGTTAAATTAATATGCTAAGAAGATGGCTCCAGTGGCAGAGCACAGAGCCTGCATGTTTGAGGCCCTGAGTTTGCCCCTTGTTCACTGTTCAGTGTAGTTCCAGTGGTCCCCAACTCTCAGCTGTTACCTTCAGGAGTCGTCCCAGGGCGGTGTCAGAAGTAAGTCCCAAGCACCACAGTAAGTCCCAAGAGGCTCCAAAACTAGAAAAAAAAAAGCTGGATGCTAGAGAGATAGTACAGTGGGTAGAGCTCTTGCCTTGCATGTGGCCAGCCTGGGTATCATTCCTGCCATACTGCCACTGGGCCCCCGAGCCCCTCCAGGAGTGATCCTTGACCACAAAGCTCAGAGTACTACTGGGTATTCCCCAAAACTGAAAGGGAGGCCGTTTGGTTCTGTCTCCAGCACTCCAGGTGGTTCCCCAAGCTGCTCAGGAGTAATTCCTGAGTACAGAAGCAGAAGTGACCCCTTAGTAATATCAGGGGATTGTGTGACCCAGAAACCCAAAAGGAAACACCCATCAGGAGAGGTGGAGAGCGAGCATGAGAGAAGATAACGTTAAAGGGTCAGAAATAGTAAAGCGCTTCCCAAAAATAAATAAATAAGTAAATTTTAAAAAATGGGGGCTGGAGTGATAGTACAGCGGGTAGGGCCTTGCATACAGCCAATCCAGGTTCGATTCCTAGCATCCCTGAGCACCACTAGGAGTAATTTCTGAGTGCAAAGCTGGGAGTAAACCCTGTGCATTGCCAGTAATTACCCCCCCCCAAAAAATAGTACAGAGTTTAAGGAGCTCGCAGTGATGTGGCCCCCCTGCTTTTAATCCCTGTCACTACATGTTTCCTCAGTGCTGAACTCAACCCCAGCTACCTCCTGAACACTTTAAAATATTGTTGAGTGGAGAAGTGTGGTCACTACACCTCGAGTTTCTCCTTCCCATCTCACCTTTAGAATCCTAAGGTCAGCTATTGGCCCAGCAGTCTTCTGTTCGGCCATGCCTGGCAGTGCTCAGGGCTCACTACTGGCGCTGTACTGAGGAATCACTTAGGTAGTGCTCTGGGAACCCTGTGGAGTGCTGGGCTAGAACCTGGGCTGACCAGGCGCAAGGCAAGTGCCTTAAAGCCTAGACTCTTGCTTGGGCTCCAATCTTGGCGTTTCTCCTATTTACGTGGGTTTTGTTCCAGTGGGGATCAGAAACCTTTTATGTGGACACTGTTGGTGACAACTGATTCATCGTCCCTTTTCTGCGTCCTCTTTCAGTTTATTTCTGGCATCTTGGCAGCCTTGAATGCTAGGGTATCTCTAGAAATCCCGCAAGTTAACATCATGACAAAAATGGACCTGCTGAGTAAAAGAGCTACAAAGGAAATTGAGAAGTAAGTTCACAATAATTAATGTCACATTTGCAGTGCTGAAACTTTTTTGTTTCACTTCGATTGTCAGTCTACAAATTTAGTGTTTAGGATTCTTTCATTCACCAGTCTCTCATGTTTAAAGGTTTCTAGATCCAGACATTTATTCTTTATCAGATGATTCTACAAGTAAATTCAGAAGCAAAAGATTCAATAAATTGACTAACGCCATATGTGGGCTGGTAAGACTTTGTATTTTTACAATTTTTGGTGGTTGGGGGTGCGGGCCTCCTGTGCTGGGGGGCCTAGGGGCCACTCTGATTATTGGCCCACCAGGCTAGTAGTGGTCAGTGCTAGGGCCCAGAGGGCCGTACCAGCAGTATTGGTTGCTTGCTGGATGTACCCAGCAATGCTCAGGATGCCATATAGATCTAAGAATCAAGCCCTGTGCTAATCCCTGGGCTGATGAGTTTCGCAAGTGTTTGGGGTTATTGTGGGATGTTTTTAAGGTTTGGGGGCCACACCCGGTGGTGCTCAGGGGCTGTTTCTCCCCTGTGCCTGGTGGACCATATGTGGTGCTGGGTGTTCAAACTGAGGTGTGTGGGGTGCAGGCCAGTTGTAACCCCTGTCGAAGCTCTTCATCACCTCCCCCCGCACCTCCCTAGACGCATATTTTTCTTAATGATCTTGTCACATGCTTACACACCCCCAGGCAGTGGGCACCATATGGATGGCACACACCAGCACATTTCTTTTTAGGGGAGCAGCATGTTGGGAGCGGTGGGCTGTCTGCTTCGAAGTTAGTATAGACGTACGGAGAGAGCTCAGTGGGCAGCACCACAGGCTTTGCAAACAAGGGACCCAGGGTTCATCTCCGGCACCATATGGTCGCCACCAGCGTTTTCTGGATGTGGCCTCCCCTCAGCTCTGAAAAAAGTTGTCATTGGTTGTAGCAGAGAGGGCAGGAGGCCACACTGAGCAGTGGTCAGAGCTTATTCTTGGCTGTGCCTCCAGAAATCATTCCTGGTGGGCTCAGGGAGCATACGGGATGTGGGGGATCGAACCCGGGTGCATCCCTTGCCTACGTGCAAGGCAAGCGCCCACCTCGGTGTACTAGCTCTCTCGTTCCACAGCAGAGAAATTCTGCAATGTCTTTTTTTTCTGGCCACTTGGCACATCAGAATTGCCTGTACACTTTTGAAATTTTCAGTGGTGCTTGAATGCAGATAAATTACTTTAAAAGAAGTCTCAGTTTCTGGTCGGGGCAGGAGCGATAGCACAGCAGGTAGGGCGTTTGCGTTGCATGGGTCCGAGCCGGGATAGATTCCTAGCATCCCATAAGTCCCCTGAGAACCACCAGGAGTTATTCCTGAGTACATGAACCAGGAGTAACCCCTGTGCATCACCAGGTATAACCCAAAAATTAAAAAAAAGTCTTTAGTTAAGTAATGTTGTAGTGTTACTAGTGTTCCAAAAGGTCAGAGGTCATAAAAAATTAATGCTGATTTGCTGTTGTTCTGTCTGCTCCTCAATGCACAGGCATAGATGGTATTAATTAGACTACCAATGTTCACAATCAAGCGTCAGTTGAATGACCTTTCTGTAATCTCTAATTTGTAGATTGATGACTACAGCATGGTCCGATTTTTGCCCTCCGATCAGTCAGATGAAGAATGCATGAACATTGTATTACAGCATATTGATTTTGCCGTTCAGTATGGAGAAGACTTGGAATTCAAAGAACCCAAGGTAATTTCTGACGATTTAGATTTGCCAGGGCCAAAGAATGGCGCAGAGGGAAAGACCATTCTCTGCCTCCCCTAGGCTGACGCTGGGTCAGTTCCCCATTTCATGTCTGGTCCCTGAGCACAGAGCCAGGATTGCCCTGAACACCTCTGCCCTCCTGTTTGATCTCAGCAGCTCCTTAAGTTAAAGTTTTGGGGGCAGCAAGAACCTGGCCCGTTCTGGCTGATCTCTGGGTGTGCCTCAAGAACTCAAAACCAAAAAAAAAAAAGAGTAACCAAAACCCTGGTTGCGCATTTGCTGGCTTTTATGCTCCAGTACCTGATGGTGCTTTGTGCCCCCTGTTCAGGGTGGTGCCCCACCCCCTGTGCTGTCTCGTTTGCCCCAATTTTGTTCATGAATATCTATCAGCACTACCTCTGGGTATTATAGAGCATTGCCTGAACAGTAGGTAAATACACACTGGGTCTGCAGAGAAATCAATGTATTTTCTATTTTGTGTTTTATTTATATCAGGAACATTTCATTTTCATTTCATCATCCTGTTAATCGTCGATTGCCTCAAGCAGGCCCCAGTAACGTCTCTTTCATCCTAGCCCTGAGATTATATTCACGGCTCTTTAGGAGAATGAGACCCATCATTGTTACTGGTATTTGGCATATTTGGTAGGCCATGGGGAGTTTGCCAGACTCTACCCTGTGGGCAGGCTACATTCGATAGCCTGCAAGTTTGTCCAAAGTAGGAATGAGATAATAAGATGTGTGCGGAGAGTGGTCTCAGCATGGTGGTGGCTGGTCCTGGAGGTCTTCGGCTGCCGTAGCCCTGGTGTAATCCCATCAGCGGCCAAGACTCAGAGACTATAAAATCCAGATCCCGGCCGAGAACAGTGCAGTCTCTGCCCCCGCGCCTGGGTGTTCCTTCCCGGAGTCCCTTGGAGGGGAGCGGGTTGAGCTTTCCTCCCCGCCCCGGCCAGGGCTACGGCAGCCGGAGACCTCCAGGACCAGCCACCACCATGCTGAGACCACTCTCCGCACACATGAAGGTACTGGCAGAGGGACAAAGCCACGCGGGTTCCGGGGCCGAGACCTCCAAGCCTACTCGATTTGGAGTCGAGCATCTTCCACCCAGATCCTCCAAATTCCAGTAGGCGGGGGTCACACCCACCACCTGGCCCCCTGGCGCCGTGTAATCCCATCAGTGGCCAAGACTCAGAGACTATATCAGGAACATGAAGATGAATCGTCTTCTATGTTAGATGAATATTTTCAAGAAATTTTGTATTTTATTTATATCAGGAACATGAAGATGAATCGTCTTCTATGTTAGATGAATATTTTCAAGAATGCCAGAACAAATGAGAAGTTTGTTACGATGCAACTGGATGCGGGGCTGGAGGGATAGCACAGTAGGTAGGGCGTTTTCCTTGCACGCAGCAGACCTGGGTTCGATTACCAACATCCCATATGATCCACCAAGCACCGTCAGGAGTAATTCCTGAGTGAAGAGCCAGGAGTAAGACCTGTGCTCTCCGGGTGTGACCCAAAAACCAAAAAAAGAAAAAGAAAAAAAATGCAACTGGATGCTTGTGAAGAGTAGCAATCACAATTTATTTAAATGAAAATATAACAGAGAAAGTAAAAACAAAGAATACAAATCATAAAATATACCGAGGCAAGATACTCATTGGTGGGAGGGTCTCCAGAGAGAGACACTGATGTGAGACCCTGGGCTTCTTCCAGTTGTAACCATGCTAGGTCTTCTGGAAACTTGTCCAATATTGCCAAAGCGGGTGGCCGTGCAGCTGGTACTGGAGAGATCAGTGACGGCGCTGTCCGTCGACACGGAGCCAAGTATGCTTTCAGAGCAGGAGCTAAAGAATCAATAAGAGAAAAGGTCACCCAGAGGGCTCCTTCCATGGATTCTCCAAAGGTGACCCCAACAGGGAGCCCAGCAGGAAGGGGAGACCATGGGCCCACCTCACGGGGATTTCCTGTGGAGGCCTCCCCGGAATGGGCTCTCCGGCCTGTGACTCTCCTTTCCCACACCAGCCCCCAGGACACCTCTAGATGGGCCTTTTCCCATTCCCCTTTTACTTGAGCATATACACACACCCCTTGGTTCTTACCCGTTTTCTTATGGTGTTCTGAGTCTCGTTCTCTGCCATATGTGTGAGGCCATGGCATTGAAGGTGGTGCCCTTTGGGGAGTTGACAATCCTTGGCCAATCTCAACTTTCTGCTTAGATGGTGTCTGGCTCTGCTTGGTGCTGGCTGATTCCAGACTTTCTTCAGAGGAACTGGACCCAGAGGATATGTAGAAGATCTTCTTTCTCTCCCGTGGGCTGTTCTGCGGAGGGAGCGTCTCTCTCTCCTGTGGGCTGCTCTGCGGAGGGAGAACCACAAAGGCTCAGCTCCAGAAGCGCTGCTTCCCCCTCCCTTCTGAGTTCCTCCCTGCTGGTGGACCTGCATCTACACAGGCCTCCCATAGGAATGAGATTGAAACAATCAAGTTTAGAAAAGTCTTGGCCCAAGAGCACCTCCTAGTGCCAACTCAGTGAGCAGTGACCTGGCCTTGGGGGCTAGATTTGATGACTCACCTGGTAGGAGAGGCTGCCCTCAAGATGATCTCACAACACACACACAGACACACGTACATACACAAATACACATACTCACACACACACACCATCTCCAGTACACACTCAAATTTACTCTCTCCGATAAACACGTTCACACACGGGTGTGCACACTCTTCCACATACACAGCTTCTGCGCCATCACACTCAGGGAGGTGATGAAGACTGATCACGGTCATCAGTGCTGGGCTGCCCGGGCCAGTTCCTGCTGACCTGAACTAGCGGCTGTCTTCGTGAAGAATTCCGGGGAGTTCTCCAGTGAGTCCTCACCCAGTTTCTGAATCTTTTCAGTGTCCTACACTTGGGGGTTTTACAACCACGATTTCTTGGTAAACAGCAAAACATGTTTGCTGTCTATGCGTTTCCGCAGTGAACCAAGTAATGAGTTTGGGGGCAGTTGGGGAGGCTGCAGAATGTCTGGTTGCATCACAAAGAGAGGTCGGTGATGTCATCGAGCGCATCACAGCAAGGACAGGTCAGCTGTGGCCCTGCAGCAGGGCTTGCTCTCTGTGCAGCCCCTCTGGGCTGCTGCTGCTCTCCCTATTCCCACAAGTTCTGTTCATGTGGTGAACTCAAGGCCCTGGGGAGAGCAGGGAGCAGCCACTTGAAAGAATGTGCTGGTAAAATGTTATTTTCCTTTTTTTTTTTTAAATGTGAGTGGACTGCTATTTATTCGGCCACTGATTAGCTGATTGAATTGGGCATGAACTCCTCCTTACACTCTTTTTTTCATTTTTTATCATTGTCTTTATTGAATCACCGTGAGAGCAGTTACAAAGTTTCGGTTCTAAGTCGGGTCTAAGTCTCAGTCATGCAATGAAACACCCGTACCTTCACTAGTGCCCATTCTCCACTTCCAAAATCCCCAATATACCCCCATCCCACACCCTCCCTATACCTGTGGGGCAGATGATTTACACATTACTCTTTCTCTCTACTTTGATCACGTTACTCTCTCTCTCTACTTTGATCACTTTGACCCAGCAATACCACTCCTGGGAATATATCCCAGAGAGGCAAAAATGTATAGTCGAAGTGACAACCGCACTTGTTTGTTCATTGCAGCCCTCTTTACAATAGCCAGAAACTGGAAGAAACCTGAATGCCCAAGAACAGATGACTGGTTAAAGAAACTTTGGTACATCTACACAATGGAGTACTATGTAGCTGTTAGAAAAGATGAAGTCATGAAATTTACATACAAGTGGTACAATATGGAAAGTATCATGCTAAGCGAAATGAGTTAGAAAGAGAGGGATAGACATAGAAAGATTGCATTCATCTGGGGGATATAAAGTAACAAAATATGAGATTAATACCCAAGAATAGCTGAGATCAGCACCAGGAGGATAGAGGCCAGCCAGGTATTCTAGAGGAAAGGGCAGTTCAGATAGAGAAGGGAGCACCAAATAAAGGGTGTTTGGAGGATCCTCCCAGGAGGGGAGATGCATGTCGAAAGTAGACTATGGACTGAACATGTTTGCCACTCAATGCCTCTTTTGCAGACCACAACACCCAAAAGGAGAGAGAGAACACAGGGGATTGCCCTGCCACAGAGGCGGGGGGGATGGGGGCATGGTGGTGGGGGGGTTATTATCCATGGTGGTGGAAAATGGGCACTGGTGAAGGGATGGGTATCTGATCATTGTATAATCGAAACCCAAGCACAAAAAATTGTAAATCTACAACTGTACCTCATGGTGTTTCACTAATTAAAAAAAAAGATAGTAAAAAATTAAAAAAAAATTTTAAATGGAAAAATTTAAAAAATTAAATATTTTAAAAATGAAATTAAATTTAAGAAAAAAAAAGAAAATGGTAGTTGGTGGGGGCTGGGCGGCCAGGGCTCTGGGGGAAGAGCAGAGAGTGTTTATTGCGAAATAACTTATTCGTTATCACCCTCATTTTTTAAAATTATTATTAGTATTATTATTATTTCTTTTTGCTTTTTGGGTCACACCCGGTGATGCCCAGAGGTTCCTCCTGGCTCTGCACTCAGGAATTACTCCTGGAGGTGTTTAGAGGACCATTGGGGACGCTGTGAATCGAACCTTGCCGGCCACTTGCAAGGCAAATGCCCTGCCAGCTGTCATATCGCTCTAACCCCCAAATTTTTTTATTTTATAAAGTGTTTTACAATATTTGATTACATTCAATATTCAGACTCCAATCCCACCACCAGTACACCTTCTCACCACCATATTTTGGATAGTTCCATCCCGAACCTTAATCCCTGTCCCAAAGCAGAACTCAAAGAATCTGTTCTCTTGTATTGTTTGATATGAAAAACTGCCAGGGCGCTGAAGTGATAGCACAGTGGGTAGGACGTTTGCCTTGCACGCGGCGAAACTGGGTTCGATTCCAAGCATCCTATATGGTCCCCTGAGCACCATTAGCCAGGGATAATTCCTGAGTGCAGAGCCAGGGGAAATTCCTGTGCATCTGCAGGTGTTACCCAAAAACAAACAACAACAACAAAAAATCTCTGAAAATCCTATAAAAAAAGTATCCTTAGAGGAAAGAGTGTGTATTCTACCCAAGGGCCATTGAGCCCTTCTATAAGTGATCACTAACATGTTGTAAAAGGTTGAACCTTGTATATATATATATATATATATATATATATATATGTGTATATATGTAAAAAATATATATATATTTCCCTCTAAGATTGGTTGCCTGCTACTTTGAATCCTGTCAAACGGGGTACAGTATTTTTGGAGTATGAGCTCCCGCATTTTTTTGCTTTTGGGATCACATCCAGTGGTGCTCAGGGCTGACTCCTGGCTCTGTGCTCAGGGATCACTCCTGGCAGGCTTCCAGGATGGTCCAGGGATTGAAAGAGAGACAGTCTTGTGCGAGGGGAGTGTCCTGCTCTCTGGACTCTCCGTGTCCCCACACCAGGGTCCCTTTAGTTCCACAGCCTTTGTTTTTGGATCATACCTGGCACTACACAGGGGATACTCCTGGCTTTGCACTAAGGAATCACTCCTGGCGGTGCTTGGGGACCATATGGGATGCTGGGGATGCTGGGAATCGAACCCGGGTCAGCTGAGTGCAAGGCAAACTCCCTGGCCGCTGTGCTACGCTCCAGACCCTATTCTCATTTGCAAAGAGAAATTGAATCCAGAAAGGTTGAGCATGCAGGGCCTTGCACACACCCAATCTGGCTTTGATCTCCAAACGATGTAGACCCCTCTAAATACCGCTGGCTGTGTCCCCAAAATCAAGGGCGGGGGAGAAATCTTCCCTTTCAGTCATACTTAGCGCACCTGATAGCAGTGAGGAGACCATCTCCCAGGGATAAGGACACTGGCCGGGAAGAGGCCGCTGGCCCGAGGTCAGTGTGGCCAAGGTAGGGCTGGATCTGCACTGCATGGTGTTCTGCCCAGTCCCGGGGATTAAGGCTTAGTTTGGGCCTCAGCAGACACTGACCAGGGGCTGTGGGGGTTTGTCTGGTGGTGTTGGGTCTGCCTGAAGCTCTGTCCCCTCCTGCCTCCCGGTCCACAGAGCACCTACTGTGCCACCATGGTCCAGCTCTGTGAAGCCCTCGGCCAGTTCTGTCCAGGTGGTGAACTTAGACCCCGCGGCGGAGCATTTCAACTATGATGTGATGGCTGGTGAGTCCAGGGCGCAGCCTTCTCTCTCCTTGGGGACCTTGAGGCAGTGAGTGCTGCCCCCTGCTTCTGCGGAGGCACAGAAGCTGAAAACTTCGTTCAGACTGATCCCTTGACTACTGCAATTTATTTCTTTTATTTTTTTTCTTTTATTGATGGGTGGGGTGGGGTTTGGGCCACACTCAGCTATGTTCAGTACTTCTGGACCTGTGCTCAGGAATCACTCCTGGTCAGGCTGAGCAACTATTTAAGGTGCCAAGTATTGAACCTGGGTTGTCCACAGGCAAGACAAGCGCAGTACCCGCTGTTCTATTCCTCAGGCCCCTGTTTGGTGTCTTTTTGTTTTTGTTTCTTGTTTTTTCTTTCTAGCCCCTGTTCAATTTTTTTGGATACAGTCACAGTTGTAATAATTACTAGTGAATGTAAATATTTTGGAATGGGCACTTATTTCCTGTTTATTCTTTGCAGACATCCGGGAACTGATCAATGTGGATGATGTGATGGAGGAAGGCTCCCTGCGCTTCGGTCCCAATGGAGGACTGGTTTTTTGCATGGAGAACTTTGCCAATAACTTTGAGTGGCTGGAGAACTGCCTTGGCCATGTCGAGGATGACTACATCCTTTTTGACTCTCCAGGTAGCTCAGTAATTAGATTGTCACCTTCCCTGGGTTGTGCAGTTCTGTCCTTGGTGGGAGAAAGTGAAATTAGCATCTCATTTACTTTTATCCCAGATTCTTGGACAGTGGACAGTCATCCCATGAGGGACTGTGGAATGTCCTTTTGTTTTCTTCTGTTTGGGGGCCACATCTAGAGGTGCTGGGGGCTGGAGCTGTTCCTAACTCCATTATCAGGAGGTTGCTCCCAGTCCTGCTTGGGGGACCAAAGCATGCTGGGAACTGAGCCCAGGCTTTCTGCATGCAGAGCATATGCTCAGCCTGTTGTTTCTTGGGCGCCAGGTCATGCAGCTTTATTATTATCATTATTATTATTATTGTTATTTTGATTTACGGGTCTCACCTGACGATGCTTGGGAGTTACTCCTTGCTTTGCACTCAGGAGTAACTCCTGGCAGTGCTCAGGGGACCATATGGGATGCTGGGAATCGAACCCGGGTCGGCTGCGTGCAAGGCAGATGCCCTACCTGCTGTGCGATCACTTCAGCTCTGGTCATGCAGCTCTTGAAAGGTTTGCTTTGGAGCTAGAGAGACAGAAGGATGGGTAGGATGCTGCGGCAGACACAGGTTCAGTCCTTGGCACCATATATGGTTCCATGAGTACTAGTGGGTATGGGCCAAAACCAAGGTTTTTTTTTTTTTTTAGGGCCATAGTACAGCAGCTAAAGCCCTTGCCTTACTTTTTGCTATTCCAGGTTTGGATCCCTGGTACCTTATTGGATTCCCCAAGCACTGCCAGGAGTTGTCTTTTAGTACAGAGTCAAGATTCCTCCCCGAATACCAGTGGGTGTGGCCCAAACCTCCGCCCCTCAAAATAAGAGAATAAAAATTTGTTTTAAAATCTGTCATTGTCGGGGCTGGAGTGATGTGATAGCACAGCGGGTGGGGCGTTTGCCTTGCACGTGCCCGACCCAGGTTCGAATCCCGGCATCGCATATTGTCCCCTGAGCACCGCCAGGAGTGGTTCCTGAGTGCAGATGCAGGAGTAACACCTGAGCATCTCCGGGTGTGACCCAACAAGCAAAATAATAATAATAATAATAATAATAAATAAATAAATAAATGAAATCCCTGTGGCTGTCCTCCCGCTGTTCATTGATTTGCTTGAGCAGGCCCAGTAACTTCTCCATCGTGAGACTTGTTGTTACTGTGTTTGTCATATCGAATACGTCACAGGTAGCTTGACAGGCTTTGCCATGTGGGCAAGATCTTCTCGGTAGCTTGTCGGGCTCTCCGAGAGGGGCAGAGGAGTTGAACCCGGTTTGGCGGGCCGGCTGCGTGCATGGAAAATGCCCTACCGCTGAGCTATCACTCCAGCCCGTTTTAAAATCATTGTTAATAATTGTAGTGCAACCAGCCAACATGGCCGACTCGGGTTCGATTCCTCTGCCCCTCCTAGAGAGCCCGGCAAGCTACCGAAGAGTATCACCTGCACAACAGAGCCTGGAAGCTCCTCGTGACATATTCGATATGCCAAATACAGGAACAATTGTCACAATGGAGATGTTACTGGGCCTGCTCGAACAAATCGATGAACAGGAGAACAGTGATGGTGATGATGACAGTATATTTTCTTTGTATGCCCCTTTTATACATGTGCACCCAGAGTTGCTTAAAAAATTGCGTGGGGGGCAAGGGGAGCTGGTGTGATAGTACAATGGGTTTGGCGTTTGCCTTGCATGCGGCTGATCCCGAACTCCTGCATCCCGTATGGTTCCCCGAGCACTGCCAGGAGTAATTCCTGAATTCAGTGCCAGAAGTAACCCCTGCACATCGCCAGGTGTGACCCAAAATGAAAAAAAAATTATTGGGGGAGCAAGAGAGATACTACAGAGGGTAGGGCACTTGCCTTGAACACAGCTAAGGTGATCCCTGCTACCCTAGATGGTTACTGGGGCCTGTCAACAGTCATCCCTGAGCACAGAATCAGGAATAAGCCCTGAGCACTATCAGGTTGTCCCCACCCCAAAAAAAACCAAAAATTGAATATAGTATAGGGCTAGAGAGATAGTGGGCTGGGGACATGCTTTACATGTAGTGGGCCTTGCATGTAGTAGGCTTTGCATGTAGGACTCTGAGTAGCTTCGAGCCCTCCCAGAAGTTTCAGAGAGACCCTCAAGCATCCCCACGTGCGGCTTAAAACAAGCAAAATTGGATATATTACTTGTAGGGATTGACTTCCTTTAAAAAAAATTGGGGGGGGGGGACCGCGGGTGCCATATCTGATGATGCTCAGGGGTTACTCCTAGCTCCTGTGCTCAGGAATTACTCCTGGCTATGCTCAAGGGACCCTATGGGATCGAACCCAGGTTGGCTGTGTGCAAGGCAAGTTCCCACCCTCTATGCGATCTCTCAAGCCCCCTAAAACAGTTTCTAGGAAAAGTTTTTTTTCCCCATAATTGAGGGTTGAATGTATCTCATGTTTATAATAAGCTTGTGTTCTTGTAGGTCAGATTGAGTTGCACACACACCTGCCCGTGATGAAACAGCTGGTTCAGCAGCTGGAACAGTGGGTGTTCCGAGTCTGTGGAGTGTTTCTCCTTGATTCTCAATTCATGGCGGAGTCGTTCAAGGTTTTTTAACTATACCTGTCCTTGATTTTTCAGTCTCCGGCACAAGCAGAGTACAAAAACCTTTAGTCATAATCGTTTAATTGTTACCAGTCCATGAACTATACCCATGAGTGACTTAGAACTTATTGTTGTTAAATTAATATGCCAAGAAGATGGCTCCAGTGGCAGAGCACAGAGCTGGTGTGTTTCGAGGCCCTGAGTTTGCCCCCTGTGCACTGTTCAGTGTAGTTCTAGTGGTCCCCAACTCTCAGCAGTCACCTTCAGGAGTTGTCCTAGGGCAGTGTCAGAAGTAAATCCCAAGCACCACTGTGTGTGGCTCCAAAACGAGAAAAATAAAAAGCTGGATGCCTGAGAGATAGTACAGTGGGTAGAGCTCTTGCCTTGCATGTGGCCAACCTGGGTGTCATTCCTGCCATACTGCCACCGGGCCCCCTTAGCCGCTCCAGGAGTGATCCTTGACCACAAAGCTCAGAGTACTACTGGGAATTCCCCAAAACTGAAAGGGAGGGCGTTTGGTTCCGTCTCGAGCACCCATATGGTTCCAAAAGCTGGTCAGGAGTAACTCCTTAGTGCAGAAGCGGAAGTGACCCAATAGTTATATCAGGGGATTTTGTGACCCAGAAACCCAAAAGGAAATACCCATCAGGGGAGGTGGAGGGGGAGCATGAGAGAAGATAATGTTAAAGGGTCAGAAATAGTACAGCGCTTCCCAAAAATAAATAAATAAGTAAATTTTTAAAATGGGGGCTGGAGTGATAGTACAGCGGGTAGGGCCTTGCACACAGCCAATCCGGGTTCGATTCCTAGCATCCCTGAGCACCACTAGGAGTAATTCATGAGTGCAGAGCCAGGAGTAACCCCTGTGCATTGCCAGGTATTACCACCCTCCCCCCCCCCAAAAAAAATAGTAAAGGGCTTAAGGAGCTCGCCTTGATGTGGCCCACATGCTTTTAATCCCTGTCACTACATGTTTCCTCAGTGCTGAACTCAACGCCACCTACCTCCTGAACACTCTAAAATATTGTTGAGTGGAGAAGTGTGGTCACTGTAGATCGCGTTTTTCCTTCCCACCTCACCTTTAGAATCCTAAGGTCAGCTATTGGCCCAGCAGTCTTCTGTTAGGCCCAGCCTGGCAGTGCTCAGGGCTCACTACTGGCGCTGTGCTGAGGAATCACTTTGGTAGTGCTCTGGGAACCCTGTGGAGTGCTGGGCTAGAACCTGGGCTGACCAGGAGCAAGGCAAGCGCCTTAAAGCCTGGACTCTTGCTCGGGCCCCAACCTTAGCGTTTCTCCGATTTAGGTGGGTTTTGTTCCAGTGGGGATCAGAAACCTTTTATGTGGACACCGTTGGGGACAACCGATTCATCGTCCCTTTCCTGCTTCCTCTTTCAGCTTATTTCTGGCATCTTGGCAGCCTTGAGTGCTATGGTATCTCTAGAAATCCCGCAAGTTAACATCATGACAAAAATGGACCTGCTGAGTAAAAGAGCTAAAAAGGAAATTGAGAAGTAAGTTCACTATAATTAACGTCACATTTGCAGTGCTGAACCTTTTTCGTTTCACTTCGATTGTCAGTCTACAAATTTAGTGTTTCGAATTCTTTGCTTCACCAGTCTATCATTTTTGAAGGTTTCTCGATCCAGGCATGTATTCTTTATTAGATGATTCTACAAGCAACTTCAGAAGCAAAAAATTCAAAAAATTGACTAATGCCATATGTGGGCTGGTAAGACTTTGTATTTTTCTAATTTTTGGTGGTTGGGGGTGGGCCTCCTCTGCTGGGGGGCCTAGGGGACACTCTGATTATTGGCCCACCAGGCTAGTAGTGGTCAGTGCTGGGGCCCTGAGGGCCGTATCAGCACTATTGTTTGCTTCCTGGCTGTACCCAACAATGCTCAGGATGCCATCTGGTGCCAAGAATGAAGTCCTGTGCTAATCCCTGGGCTGATGAGTTTTGCAAGTGTTTGGGGTTGTTGTGGGTTGTTTTTAAGGTTTGAGGGCCACACCTGGTGGTGCTCAGGGGCTGTTTCTCCCCTGTGCCTGGTGGACCATATGTGGTGCTGGGTGTTCAAACTGAGGTGTGTGGGGTGCAGGCCAGTTGTAACCCCTGTCGTAGCTCTTCATCACCTCCCCCCGCACCTCCCTAGACCCATATTTTTCTTAATGGTCTTGTCACATGCTTACACACCCCCAGGCAGTGGCTACCATATGGACGGCACAGACAGACGCATTTCTTTTTATAGGGGAGCAGCATGTTGGGAGCAGTGGGCTGTCTGCTTCGAAGTTAGTATAGAAGTAGGGAGAGAGCTCAGTGGGCAGCACCACTGGCTTTGCAAACAAGGGGCCCAGGGTTAATCTCTGGCACCATATGGTCGCCACCAGCGTTGTCTGGATGTGGCCTCCCCTCACCTCTGAAAAAAATTGTCATTGGTTGTAGCAGAGAGGGCAGGAGGCCACACTGAGCAGTGGTCAGAGTTTATTCTTGGCTGTGCCTCCAGAAATCATTCCTGGTGGGCTCAGGGAGCATATGGGATGCGGGGGATCGAACCCGGGTACATCCTTTGCCTATGTGCAAGGCAAGCGCCCACCTCAGTGTACGAGCTCTCCCGTCCCACAGCAGAGAAATTCTGCAATGTCTTTTTTTCCTGGCCACTTGGCACATGAGAATTGCCTGTACCCTTTTGAAATTTTCAGTGGTTGTTGAATGCAGATAAATTACTTTAAAAGAATTCTCAGTTTCTGGTCGGGGCTGGAGCGATAGCACAGCAGGTAGGACGTATGCGTGCATGCGTCCGACCCGGGTTTGATTCCTACCATCCATAGGTCCCTTGAGCATCACCAGGAGTTATTCCTGACTACATGAACCAGGAGTAACCCCTGTGAATCACCAGGTGTAAAGTAAAGTAAAGTAAAGTAAAGTAAAGTAATGTAAATTAAAGTAAAGGCCCTCCCGTTGATCTTCAATTTGCTCGAGCGGGCCCAGTAACGTCTCCATTGGAGACTTTGTTGTTACTGTGTCTGGCATATCGAATACGTCACGGGGAGCTTGCCAGGCTCTGCCGTGCGGGCGAGATACTCTCGGTAGCTTGCCGGGCTCTCCAAGAGGGGCGGAGGAATCGAACTCAGGTCGGCCATGTTGGCTGCGTGCAAGGCAAACGCCCTACCGCTGTGCTATCGCTCCAAAAAGTCTTTAGTTAAGTAATGTTGTAATGTTACTAGTGTTCCAATAGGTTAGTGGTCATAAAAAAATTAATGCTGATTTGCTATTGTTCTGTCTGCTCCTCCCTGCACAGGCATAGATGGTATTAATTAGACTACCAATGTTCACACTCAAGCATCAGTTGAATGACCTTTCTGAAATCTCTAATTTGTACAATGATGATTACAGCATGGTCCGACTTTTGCCTTACGATCAGTCCGAAGAAGAAAGCATGAACATTGTATTACAGCATATTGATTTTACCATTCAGTACGGAGAAGACTTGGAATTCAAGGAACCCAAGGTAATTTCTGATGATTTAGATTTGCCAGGGCCAGAGACCGGCGCAGAGGGAAAGACCATTCTCTGCCTCCTCAAGGCTGATGCTGGGTCAGTTCCCCGTTTCTGTCTGGTCCCTGAGCAGAGAGCCAGGATTGCCCTGAACACCTCTGCCCTCCTGTTTGATCTAAGCAGCTCCTTAAGTTAAAATCTTGGGGGCAGCAAGAACCTGGCCCGTTCTGGCTGATCTCTGGGTGTGGCTCAAGAACTCAAAACCAAAACCAGAAAAAAAAGAGTAACCAAAATATAAATAAATAAACATAAATAAAAAGTCCTGGGAGCTTGGTGTGATAATCTATGTATCCTGGCAGTTGTTCAGGTTACACAGCAGTTGGTGGGTGTAACTGTCTAGCTACTGGAAGGTCCAGTTCCAAACCGTGTAGGCTTGGAGATCTCAGCCCCGGGTCCCCCACACCTGGGTTCCTCTGCCAGTTCCTTTATGCGTGAAGCCCATCCAAGCGTGTGGAGACTGGTCTCAGCATGACTTTGGCCTTACGCCAGACGTCTTCTGCTGTTGGCCCTGGTGAGGACAGTCAGGCATGGGGTAGGATTCTCCGCGTTGTTCTCTCCCGGGAGCTTGGTGTGATAATCAAGTGATTATCAGTGATTCATTAAAAAGTAAAAAATTTAAAGAAACAAATTAAAAATGGAAAAATTCAAAAACTTAAAAATTTTAAAAATAAAATTAAATTTAAGAAAAGAAAATGGGATTTGGTGGGGAGCCGTGCGGCTGGGTTTCTGGAGGAAGAGCAGAGACTGTTAATTGTGCAATAACTTATTCCCTACCACCCTCATTTTTAAAAACTATTATTATTATTATTATTATTTTTTTTTCCTTTTGGGCGACACCCGGTGATGTGCAGGGGTTCCTCCTGGCTCTGCACTCATGAATTCCTCCTGGTGGTGCTCAGAGGACCATAGGGGATGCTGGGAATCAAACCTCGCCGGCCACTTGCAAGGTAAATGCCCTGCCTACTGTCATATCGCTCCAACTCCCCAATTTTTTTATTTTATAAAGTGTTTTACAATATTTGATTATATTCAATATTCAGACTCCAATCCCACCACCATTACACCTTCTCACCACCATATTTCGGGTAGCTCTATCCCGAACCCCAATCCCTGTCCCAAAGCAGAACTGAAATAATTTATTTTCTTGTATTGTTTGATTGTTTGATATGAAAAACTGCCAGGGCGCTGGAGTGATAGCACAGTGGGTGGGACGTTTGCCTTGCATGCGGTGAAACTGGGTTCGATTCCAAGCATCCCATATGGTCCCCTGAGCACCATTAGCCAGGGATAATTCCTGAGTGCAGAGCCAGGAGAAATTCCTGTGCATAGACACGTATGACCCCTCCGAAAAATATCGCTGAAAATCCTATAAAAAAAAGTATCCTTAGAGGAAGGAGTGTGTATTCTACCCAGGGGCCGTTAAGTCCTTCTATAAGAGATCACTAACATGTTGTAAAAGGTTGAGCCTTGTGTGTTTATATATATATATATATAGCACAGCGGTAGGGCGTTTGCCTTGCACACAGCCAACATGGCCAACCTGATTTCGATTCCTCCACCCCTCTCAGAGAGCCCGGCAAGCTACCGAGAGTATGTCGCCCGCACTGCAGAGCCTGGCAAGTTACCCATGATGTATTTGATATGCCAAACAAAGTAACAACAAAGTCTATAATGGAGACGTTACTGGACCCGCTCGAGCAAATTGAAGAACAATGGGAGGACAGTGATACAGTGAACCAAAACCCTGGTTGGAGATTACGTGGCTTTTGTGCTCCAGAACCTGATGGTGCTTTGGGCCCCCGGTTCAGGAAAGGTAAGTGCCCCACCCCCTGTGCTGTCTCGTTCGCCCCAATTTTGTTAGTGAATATCTATTACCACTACCACTGGGTATTATAGAGCATTGCCTGAACAGTAGGTCAATACATACTGGGTCTGCGGAGAAATCAATGAATTTTCTAATTTGTGTTTTATGAAGATGAGTTGTCTTCTATGTTGGATGAATATTTTCAAGAATGCCAGAACAAATGAAGTGTATGTTATGATGCAACTGGATGCGGGGCTGGAGTGATAGCACAGTAGGTAGGGCATTTCCCTTGCACGCGACAGACCTGGTTTCGAATCCCAACATCCCATATGGGCCACCAAGCGCCGCCAGGAGTAATTCCTGAGTGAAGAGCCAGGAGTAACACCTGTGCTCTCCGGGTGTGACCCAAAAACCGAAAAAAAAAAAAAAAGGCAAATGGATGCTTGTGAAGAGTAGCAATCACAATTTATTTAAATGAAAATATAAAAGATAAAGTAAAAACAAAGAATAAAAATCATAAAATATACAGAGGCAAGATACTCATTGGTGGGAGGTTCTCCAGACAGAGACCCTGATGTGAGACCCTGGGCTTCTTTCAGTTGTAAACATGCTAGGTCCTCTGGGAACTTGTCCAATATTGCCACAGCGGGAGGCTGTGCAGCTGGTACTCGAGAGATCAGTGTTGGCGCTGTCCTTGGACACGGAGCCAAGTATGCTTTCAGAGCTGGAGCTAAAGAATCAATAAGAGAAAAGGTCACCCAGAGGGCTCCTTCCATGGATTCTCCAAAACTGACCCCAACAGGGAGCCCAGCAGGAACGGGAGACCATGGGCCCACCTCACGGGGGTTTCCTCTGGAGGCCTCCCCGGAATGGGCTCTCCGGCCTGTGACTCTCCTTTCCCACACCAGCCCCCAGGACACCTCTAGGTGGGCCTTTTCGCATTCCCCTTTTACTTGTGCATATACACACACCCCTTGTTTCTTACCTGTTTTCTTCTGGTGCTCTGAGTCTCGTTCTCTGCCATATGTGTGAGGCCATGGCATTGAAGGTGGTGCCCTTTGGGGAGTTGACACTCCTTGGCCAATCTCAACTTTCTGCTTAGACCGTGTCTGGCTGTGCTTGGTGCTGGCTGATTCCAGACTTTCTTCAGAGGAACTGGACCCAGAGGATATGTAGAAGATCTTCTTTCTCTCCTGTGGGCTGCTCTGCGGAGGGAGCGTCTCTCTCTCCTGTGGGCTGTTCTGCGGAGGGAGCGTCTCTCTCTCCTGTGGGCTGCTCTGCGGAGGGAGAACCACAAAGGCTCAGCTCCAGAAGTGCTGCTTCCCCCTCCCTTCTGAGTTCCTCCCTGCTGGTGGACCTGCATCTACACAGACCTCCCATAGGAATGAGATTGAAACAATCAAGGTTAGAAAAGTCTTGGCCCAAGAGCACCTCCTAGTGCCAACTCAGTGAGCAGTGACCTGGCCTTGGGGGCTAGATTTGATGACTCACCTGGTAGGAGAGGCTGCCCTCAAGATGATCTCACAACACACACACAGACACACGTACATACACAAATACACATACTCACACACAGACCATCTCCAGTACACACTCAAATTTACTCTCTCCAATAAACACGTTCACACACGGGTGTGCACACTCTTCCACACACGCAGCTTCTGCGCCATCACACTCAGGGAGGTGATGAAGACTGATCACGGGCATCAGTGCTGGGCTGCCCGGGCCAGTTCCTGCTGACCTGAACTAGCGGCTGTCTTCGAGAAGAATTCCGGGGAGTTCTCCAATGGGTCCTCACCCAGTTTCTGAATCTTTTCAGTGTCCTACACTTGGGGGTTTTACAACCACGATTTCTTGGTAAACAGCAAAACATGTTTGCTGTCTATGCGTTTCCGCAGTGAACCAAGTAATGAGTATGGGGGCAGTTGGGGAGGCTGCAGAATGTCTGGGTGCATCACAAAGAGAGGTCGGTGATGTCACCGAGCGCATCACAGCGAGGACAGGTCAGCTGTGGCCCTGCAGCAGGGCTTGCTCTCTGTGCAGCCCCCTCTGGAATGCTGCTTCTCTCCCTCTTCCCACAAGTCCTGTCCATGTGGTGAACCGAAGGCCCTGGGGAGAGCAGGGAGCAGATACTTGAAAGAATGTGCTGCTAAAAAGTTATTTTCCTTTTTCTAAAAATGTAGGTGTACTGCTATTTATTCGGCCAGTGATTAGCTGATTGAATTGGGCATGAACTCCACCTTACTCTCTTTTTTTCATTTTTTATCATTGTCTTTATTGAATCGCTCCAACCTCCCAATTTTTTTATTTTATAAAGTGTTTTACAATATTTGATTACATTCAATATTCAGACTCCAATTCCACCACCATTACACCTTCTCAGCACCACATTTCGGGTAGTTCTATCCCGAACCCCAATCCCTGTCCCAAAGCAGAACTGAAATAATCTATTCTCTTGTATTGTTTGATATGATAAACTGCCAGGGCACTGGAGTGATAGCACAGTGGGTAGGATGTTTGCCTTGTACGCGGCGAAACTGGGTTCGATTCCCAGCATCCCATATGGTCCCCTGAGCACTATTAGCCAGGTATAATTTCTGAGTGCAGAGCCAGGAGAAATTCCTGTGCATCGACAGGTATGACCCAAAAACAAACAAACAAAAATCGCTAAAAATGCTATTAAAAAAGTATCCTTAGAGGAAAGAGTGTGTATTCTACCCAGGGGCTGTTAAGCCCTTCTATAAGAGATTACTAACATGTTGTAAAATGTTGAGCCTTGTGTGTTTATATATATATATATATGTGTGTGTGTGTATATATGTATCTATAAAATATTTATATGTATTTCCCTCTAAGATTGGTTGCCTGCTACTTTGAACCATGTCAGATGTGGTACAGTTGTTTTTGAGTATGAGCTCCCGCATTTTTTTGCTTTTGGGGTCACATCTGGTTGTGCTCAGGGCTGACTCCGGGGTCTGTGCTCAGGGATCACTCCTGGCAGGCTTCCAGGATGGTCCGGGGAATGAAAGCGAGACAGCCTTGTGCGAGGGGAGTGTCCTGCCCTCTGGACTCTCCGTGTCCCCGCTCCAGGGCCCCTTTAGTTCCACAGCCTTTGTTTTTGGGTCATACCTGGCACTGCACAGGGGTTTCTCCTGGCTCTGTACTCATGAATTACGCCTGGCGGTGCTCAGGGGACCATACGGGATGCTCGGAATCGAACCCGGGTCAGCTGAGCGCTAGCCACTGTGCTATGCTCCAGACCCTATTCTCATTTTTAAAGGGAAATAGAATCCAGAAAGGTTGAGCATGCAGGGCCTTGCACACACCCAATCTGGGTTCAATCTCCAAACGATGTAGGCCCCTCTGAATACCGCTGGCTGTGGCCCCAAAATCAAGGGCGGGGGACAATTCTTACCTTTCAATCATACTTACCCCACCTGATAGCAGTGCGGAGACCATCGGCCAGGGAGAAGGACACTGACTGGAAAGATGCCGCTGGCCCGAGGTCAGTGTGGCCACAGTAGGGCTGAATCTGCACTGCATGCAGTTCCCTGATGCCCAGCCCCGGGTTGGGTCTTTTCCCTGGTTTCAGTCTGTTTCTTGGGGGATTATGGCTTAGTTTGGACCTTAGCAAACACTGAGCTGGGGCTGTGGGGGTTCGTCTGGTGGTGTTGGGTCTGTCTGAAGCTCTGACCCCTCCTGCCTCCCGGTCCACAGAGCACCTACTGTGCCACCATGGTCCAGCTCTGTGAAGCCCTCGGCCGTTCTGTCCAGGTGGTGAACTTAGAACCTGCGGCAGAGCATTTCAACTATGATGTGATGACTGGTGAGTTCAGGGCGCAGCCTTCCCTCTCCTTGGGGGCCCTGAGGCAGTGATGCCCCCTGCTGCTTGGGAGGCACAGAAGCTGAAAACTTCCTTCAGTCTGATCCCTGCTTTCATGGTAGACAGCAGAACATCATGTGTTAGCATCCACTTATTGATGTGCTTGTGACAGTTCCCTTTGTTTCTCTTAATAAAAAGTGAGATGGCACGAGTCTTTCTTTAAATTCTTACTCAGAGGGGATTGAACTCAAGCTGGAAGCATGCAACGCAAGCACCTTAAGTCTACTCTATCTGGCCCTTCCTTTTCCTGATGCTCGGGTGACTCCTGGCTCTGCACTCAGGAATAACTCCTGGTGGTGCTTGGGGAGACCATATGCATGCCGGGGATTGAACCCTGATCGACAGTGTGCAAGGCGAACACCCTATCCACTGTACTATCCCTCCTTGCCCTGTCCCTTGCTTCACCTCTTTTATTTTATTTTGCTTTTTGGGTCACACTCAGCAATGCACAGGGGTAACTCCTGGTTCATGTACTCAGGAGTTACTCCTGGCTGTGCTCAGGGGACCATATGGGATGCTGGGAATTGAACCTGGGTTGGGCCGCGTGTAAGGCAGACGCCCTACCCGCTGTGCTATCACTCCAGCCCCACTTCACTTGTTTTAGAACAGATATTTTAAATGCACAGTATTGAGAATGCAAAAGGTACATGAGAGTGTGCAGAAAAGGGTCAGTCCAACCTCTTGCTTCCTCTGAGTCTTAGAATATTACCTAATGCTGTAGTGTTATTCCTTAACATCTTTGCACAGAATTAAGTGTGGAGGCCAGGAAGACAGTAGAGGGGTTCGGAGCAAATAATTGGCACATACACGGTGCTGTTTTAATGCCCAGCACTGCAGGGCCCCCTGAGCACTGTTGGGTACTGTAGTCCTGTAGCCCCTAAGCCCCTCCAGGTGATCATCTCACTTTTGGGCGCTGGTGTTTGCTTTCTGGCCCCTGGGCCTCCTGAACTCTGCCTGGGAGGCCAAAGGGGAGAAAAAAAATCAGAGGCCAAGGTGCTAACTTAGAGGGATGTAGAGCAAGTTTCGGGATGCCCCTGACCACCAGCTGTGGTTGCAAAACCAAAGGAAGAAAGAGATCAAAATACAGTACAAGAATTGAAGCATTTGGTTTAACTGTTGGGGGTCGCTACTGGCTCTGCTCCTGCAGGGCATACGTGGGGGTGGAATTTGAACTGGGCCTAAATCCTTCTTGTCTCTTTGGCCTTTTGTTTTGTTTTGGGGTCACATCTGGTGGTGCTCAGGGTTTGCTGCTGATACTGCTGTCACTCCAGGGTGTGTGCCCTGCCCTTATCATTTATAAGTACAACTACTAGCCTTCTAAGAGTACTGCCCCTTGTGTTT